TTTCTATAGGCCTTGGGCAGTTGTAAGGTTCTTTCCTTCCTTTGATGCATTAAAAGAGAGTAGGGAACAGGATTGTGGACCGAGGTGAGTGGCAGGAAGAGGCCTCCCAAGGCAGACAAACTCAGGACCTAAGTGACCTGCTGGGGGACTGTTTGACCTGCGTGTGGGACCTGGTATCAGTCATGAAAGAACAAAGTGGAACAATGACCAAAAGCCACTGGGGTAGAGGCGGTGGATGACTCTGGAAGGCGGGCAGAGATAAGAAGCTCACCAGGGGAACACTTCTTCCCAAGATGCATTTCACTCTATAAAACAGAAAGGGAAACAAGAGAAGAAAGGACTCCCCAGCCCAACTCTTCATTATCCTTCCAAATTCACCATTTTCCAAACATTCCAGCTTAGGAATTCCAATCAAGGTGGGCAGAGCCAAGCTCAATGGACAGGAGCATGAAGAAGGCAGGCAGGGCCACCAGACAGAGCAGCTCACCAGGGTCCTGTGAGCTGCCGGGTCCTGGGTACGCTGTGTTCGCCACGTGGCTGTGGCAGCTCCCTTCTCAACGTCAATCACCAACCAGTAGCACCCACCCAAAAGGGGAGACATAGTGAGAATACCTCAGTTACAAGTGGGCATGGGTTTTTATTCTCAGTGCACAGCAGTAATGGTTTCTGCTCATCAGCAAAAAGCTTTATTGGTTCCAAAAAAAAAAAAAAAGAAAAGAAAAAAAAAAAAGAAAAAATTTATCCCTTTCATTCATCTTTTAAAATTCCTCTTCGTCTTGCCTCAGTGGAACATACACATTCAAATTTTAGATTCCCTAGTTCATAGCATTTTTGCCCCTCTAAGAACCACATAAATACATGCAAAAACATTGTTACATAGTGCTTAAATAATATAGAAATGCAGATACAGATTGGGTGCACTGTTAAGCTGAACTGCAAATTATGACAACACATGTTGGGATATACATTGCTTTGAGTTCATCATTTGGTTGTTTATGTCATGCAGACCACAATAGTCAAATCTTTCGTTGTGGTTTTATGTTTGTTTTTTTTTTTCTTTTCCTTTTTTGTACAAAAATACTGGTGCTTGTTATACTAGTTACTGAAAAAAACCAAAAAACAAAAGATACCCCAAATTCCTATCTACGTGCTGATTTGAAAAGAGAAACTCAGATTTCTTGGCACATATATATGGCATATTCACATATGGCATATATACATATGGGGGAGAAAACCAAAACCAGAGGTCAATTCAGTCATGGGGAGCTCACCTCCCTCTATTTCTCCTAATCAACAGGGAGGGGGACAGCAGGCTTAGCGGCAGCGGTGAGGAAGGCAGAAAGGAGGGCACTGAGCTAAGGGGAAGGGTGCCTGGTCTACTCTGAGACAAAGAGCTGGAATGGCTTAAGAAGCGCAGGCATTTCTAAATGCCTCACCCCCACCACAGAGAAGGGTGACACCTAGATATGACAGAGGAGAGGTGCACGCCTTTGGATGGTACGGCAGTCTGCTTCAATCGTAAGGCAAGGGCAGCAGGAAAGGAAGGAAGGGATGCATTCAGAGGTTTCCTGGCATATGGGACCTTGTCACACTCCTCTGGGTTTTAGGCAGTGAGGCAATCACTCAGTTAAATGTGCAAATCCTCCCCTGTGAAGCTCAAGGGAAGGAAGATACTCTAAACCTCAATGAAGAATCCATAAGTACCCAGAGGGACTGCCATGTAATGTCTCTCTACACACTTTCAGGGAATGAAGAGTCCTTCCAGAAGGCAAAGGACACCCTTGGGAAGGACAATCACCCTGGGTGAGGACTAGCCTTCGTGCTTTTCCACATCGAGCTCTATCCCCCATCTAGTATATTGCATGAAATCTTCCCAGGGGAGGGGAAGAAGCCACACATCAGATGCCTGCAAGAAAAACTCACTCAAGGGAAAACCCCAGGAGGAACAGGAAGTCCAAGAACCATTAAAAATATACAGATGCCAGATTATCATTACAGACCAGGAGGTACTAACTCAAGTCTTTGGTACCACTCACTCTGCTGGTTGTTTTTCAAGAAACACAAATTCTGACCAAAGACCCCTGCTCCTCACCATTAAAGAACCGGGCACCCCATCTCCAAGGAGGGCAGACATTAATTTCCCACCGGTGGATCCCTTCATGCTGGATGTTTTCCTCTCTCATCAGCTGTTAACACCTCCTTTTTCTAGGTTTGTCAGGATACAAATATAGGATACTATATTCCCTTCTCCCTGTCAGACCCTTTTCCAATCCAAAGCACCATTTTGGGGAAAGGCTTTATTAACTTACGCTATATGCACTCATTGCCAGTCAGGTTATGGAAACTGAATAGAAAAAACTTATATAAAAAAACATACGCACATAAACACTTAAACTTATTCAATTTCATATCAACAAAGTTTATATTAAAAAAGTCTAGAACC